GGGTGTTCGGCCCTCTAACCTACTGCTGAGTGAATGGCACATTAAACTGTTATATGCAGAGCTTAGCAGGGATGACTACTAGAATAAGAAACCAAAATGGCAAAATCTATAAAGAGGACTAGATGTTGTTTATGGAATATATGGGAAAGTACTACAGTGGTACCTCGCAAGATGAATGCCTCGCAAGACAAAAAACTCGCTAGACGAAAGGGTTTTTTGTTTTTTGAGCTGCTTCGCAAGACGATTTTCCCTATGGGCTTGCTTCGCAAGACGGAAACGTCTTGCAAGTTTATTTCCTTTTTCTTAACACCATTAATACAGTTGCGACTTGACTTCGAGGAGCAACTCATAGAACGTGGTGTGGTAGCCTTTTTTGAGGTTTTTAAAGACTTTGGTGATTTTTGAAGCTTTTCCAAAACTTTCCCAACACCGTGCTTCACAAGACGAAAAAAATCGCAAGACGACAAAACTCGCGGAACGAATTACAGTGGTGCCCCGCAAGACGAAATTAATTCGTTCCGCAATTTTTGTCGTCTAGCGAATTTTTCGTCTTGCGAAGCACGAAATCCCATAGGAATGCATTGAAAATCAATTAATGCGTTCCTATGGTCAAAAAAAGTCCAAACAAAGCCAAATTTGGTACAACAACAGTTTATTAACTGCTCTTTAAAGTCACACATACTGTAAAGAGCAGTTCAAAAATTGAAGGGAAAATAAATTAACTTTATAAACAAAACATGTCTTTGTTTTTAGACAAAGAAAACAAAGTCGCGAGACGTTTTCGTCTTGCGAAGCAAGCCCATAGGGGAAATTCGTCTTGCGAGGCAAATCGAAAACGGAAAAACCTTTCGTCTAGCGAGTTTTTTGTCTTGCGAGGCATTCGTCTTGCGAGGTACCACTGTAATTTCGTCTTGCGAGGCACCACTGTATAAGTAAACAATTTACCTAGCAGGATGGGAAGATTTTCAGCAGAGTAAGAAATAATAAAGTATATAAAAGTTGTTGCGATAGACAAGATGAACTGAAAAAACATGAGGAAAGGGGGGTATAAGGAACCATGGAAGGAAAGGTTAGGTCAAGGAATGTTTTCTGGGTTGGGTTTTTTTGGAGGGGTTGTTTTGTTTTGTCTTTGGTCTATTGTCTATTTCTCACCAGCTGATCAGATAGAAGGGAACTGACATGTTTGTGATGTTTTCATACATACACCACCACGGGCAGTGGGATAGTGCCATGGGGAAGCTGCTTCCCACACAGCTTGGTATAAATAAGAAGGGGGCAACTCTGGTGCACTTGTAATATACAAGCTTAAGAGAAAGAGTCTTTCCAAAAGGATCTCTGTGAGATAAGGTCATAGTATTTAACAACCTACACCAATGAAATCATGCAAAAAATATATAATGGGGTTGTATATTACAGAGCTTAGGTGTGGGATGCTTAATGGTAAAGAAGAAAAATATCAAACTTTCACTTTGGGATCATTTTGTACCCCGTAGCATAAGAAGACTTATGCATAAAAATGATTATGTTCAAGCTGGTTGACAAGGCTCTCGAGAAAAGATTTCTATATGGTCTGGCCAAATGCTATATCATAATTTATATAACAGTTTAAATATATGCCCTTACATTGCATTCTTCAATTGTTCAAACACCAATCCCATTCTTAATGTAGAAAACTGCAACTAGACTCAAGGTTCTGCTTCTTGGTGGCTGGCGATCAAAACAGAAAAGAGTTCAGTGTCTGAGCATGGAACAGTACTGCAGGCCAGAAATTCAGTGAGATGCGGTTGTGATCCAGAATTTGTTGCTTGGAGGGATTAAGATGAGTTGCTGAAATATGAAGGCACAAAGTGTTGTTGAAGACAGTGTTTTGAGACAGAGCTGAGGACTAGGATACCCAGATTCCATCCCTAGGTATTCTGGAATTGCTTTGCCTTTCTGTCTCCCTCTCTTCCTTATTAAGTTGGACTCACAACAGCAGGAAATCATTGCAAAGAGTGGCTGGAGGATTTACAGCCTTTGATCTATTTGAACTGCCTCCCTTGAAGCTGATTAGAGCCCAGCTTTGGCTTTCCAGCTGTTAGTCAAGGCTGCTGTTCCTTTCAGGATGCCTGGGACTGATGTGCTTGCTTTCTAGGAAGGGGGAAGTGGAAGAATTGAAGCTTTGGTCACATGCCCAAACTTCTCTCCCTGCTTGCTTGTCCATGGATCTTTCTCCCAGCTTAGTAGCTACAAAGGCTACCCTTGTGCTTTGCAGAGCAGCCTCTGTTGATATTAACCAGCTGTAATTTTCGGCCAGCTCTGTAGAGGAAGCCTCAGTCCTTCCTCAGCCGAACATTGTTTACTTCTTGCAGGGAGCCCCACGTGTCCAAGGGGAGTGGCTGGCAGAGGAGATATGACGAAGCTGCTGCTCTTTGCAGTGCTGTGTGCAAAACTAGGGCCTGTGAGTGATGCGCTTTCACCACAGCAATTCTCTTTATGCAGCTCTGCTTGATTCAGCTCAGATGCAGAGGCTGCAGCTGAATTTATCTTTCATGAAATATTCTGCTTTAGAGAAATCTGCAGGCATGTTGCCTGCTTTTCTGTACACATCCTACCCCTCCCTCCTGCCAATGCTAGTAAGAGAATTTGCTGCTTGACGTAATGCTGAAAAACAAGTCACCACTTTGCAGTCCAGTGTTGTGAATGTTGAAGAAAGGCAGCCAAAAAGCAGCTGTTCCTCAAGTTGCTTTTCTAGAACTGACTTCCAGCAGATGACTCTCATCTTGAATCAGCTGTTCCTAGCTATGGCCTGTAGCACAGCCCTTCCTAGAATTAATGTTTCTTCCTATATCAAGTACACCTGTGTGTGTGTGTGTGTGTGTGTGTGTGTGTGTGTGTGTGTGTGGTATGTTTGTGCACATACCCTTAGGTGGCAATGGAATGATCTGCATTCCCTGGGAAGAACAGATTGCAAGGGTGACCTGCTATAGTTAAACATGGAGAACTGGAAGCAACACCTGTAATTCTGGGCAAAGCCAGGGTACTCTATTTACCCCCAAAAAGTATGCTGAAGGGGTGCACACACAAAAATGAAGGCTGGTCCTCTGGATGACCTTGAGTTAAGTGATCACCATAAGCCTCCAGACTTGATAGCTGTAAAGAGCTTGGAATACAGTGGTACCTCGGGTTAAGTACTTCATTCGTTCCGGAGGTCCGTTCTTAACCTGAAACTGTTCTTAACCTGAAGCACCACTTTAGCTAATGGGGCCTCCCGCTGCCACCACGCCACCGGAGCACGATTTCTGTTCTCATCCTGAAGCAAAGTTCTTAACCCAAGGTACTATTTCTGGGTTAGCGGAGTCTGTAACCTGAAGCGTATGTAACCTGAGGTATCACTGTATGAGTCAAAGGCTGCCACAGGTGCCTCCTCCTCTCTTTCTTTCATTGGGGGTGTAGTTCCAGCCCTCCTCCTGCCAGACCTAGCAGGCAGGAATGGCACTTCCAGTTTAGGCTATCCGGGTCCTGCTGCCATAGTGGCTTCTTTCTGCTTGAGGTAGAGGGGACCCTCCTGCCACTTCACCCTGTGTATGGTGTTCTGCTTGGAATGGTTGCCAGCGGTGAACTCTTCCCATCCAGTTTGAATCCTGCAGTTGATTCTTCCATCAAGGTTTATGGGGCAAATAAAATGCCTGCAACTGGGAACACACATGAGCAGAGCCAGCAAGGTTTGTCAGCCGCCTCATTTGTCCCAAAGCACACCTCTTTCCATTCAGATAATTGAATAGTTGCCACTTCCTGCTTAGGGAGCTACACTTGGGGAAAGGAGGATCCTTGTCGCAGTTGGTACAGGGATTTCCCTGCTATGCTGACCTTGGGTGGCCTGTCTCATTTTTGGCAGATGGCAGAAGGATATGCTGTGTTCCCCCAAAGGACCCTGCCCGGCACAGTGTCAGGCATTTTGGAAATAAACAATAGACTGATGTTGCTACTCAAGATGCTGGCAGTTATCAGTGTTTAATGTCACAGGCAAGTAGAGGAGTTCCCCCAGCCCTGAAATATGGGAGAACTAGCACCTGCAGGATGGGATGGCTGGTGTCCTTTTAGCTTCAGGTTAAGGCCACAAGAATTGGATCTAGTCTGGCATAATAGTAACTGGCAGTCATTTAGATGCTCCTGGGAACCCACATGCAAGGAGCAGCTCCACCCCCCTCCCTCTTGATTGTTTCTCAGCATCTGGCATCCAGGGACACAGAGGTTCCATTTTAGCCATCCTGACTAGTAGCTGTTGATAAGCCTTCCCTCCTCAATGAGTTTGTATGATCCTGTTTAGGATGTGGCCAACACCATACCTTGTGGCTGTGAGTTTGATCATTTAGTTCTGTGCTGGTGAGCAGAAGTGGTTACTGTAGAAGAGGAGTGTGGCTGCCATGTGGTCCATCCAGCAGAAGTGGCCATAGACCGGTGATCGTCAGATAGCCCTTCCAGAGAGGGCAGCCTCAGTGTGGTGCTTTTCAGTTTCATTCATGCGTTTTCATGTCCTGCCCTTCAGTCCTAGATTTTATCCAGCATTTCCCTTGTGGTTTGTAAGACACAGTTTCATTATCATATATAGCTGAGTGCGCATTAAGAACACAAAAAGAGCCCTGCAGCTGGATCAGACCAAAGGCTCATCTAGAACATCAATTCTCACAGGGGCCAACTAGATTCTTATGCGAAGTCCATCAGGAAGCAGGACATAAGCGCAGCAGCAGCACTCTCTTCACTCTCTTCAGCTGCCCAGACACTAGTATTCAAAAGTATGCTGATTCCTATACTGGAAGTAGTCTACAGCCATCATGACCAGTAGCCACTGATAGCCTTACATTGGTGGTACTCTAGCGCGCGCACACACACACACACACACACACACCGTGGGGCTTGTTACTACTTATTTTCATCCTCCACTTACCTGGGACCAAGCAATCAGCATTGCTGTAGATCTTTCTAGTCTATTAAACTGCCTCTCTCTCTCTCTTTTGCAGGATGAGCAGTTCATAGGCTTTGGTTCAGATGATGAGGCCAAAGGACAAAGTCCCACCAAATCTCCCACAGGTATGTTCAGTTTGCTACTATCTTGTCAGGTTCATGGGAGTTTTTTCTTAAAACGGTCTACATGGGCCTGGTCTGAAGACTGCACTAGTGCTGCAAACCGTTGAGGTAACACATGTTATCTCTCTCCACCTTATCTGTAGGGATGTGACTAAGCTCTGCCAAAGGGATGGGGGGGCCTTTGGTTTGCAAGGATTGATGGGTTGAGTACTTAAATAGGCGTCGAATCGAGTGCATATTGTATAATACCTCTCATTTGTCTTTAACATGAGCAATGTTTTAAAAGTAAACAATGCAACAATACATAGTGGGCTTTCAATTTGGTTTATCCTGAATACTATCCTTAGTCTACATTTTTGGAAAGAAACAAGTGGAACTGACCAACTAATCTCCAGAGCTACTAGCTTTCATGGTGGGGAAAACTTACAGTACTTTAACAGTCAACTGGAGAGAAATCCTTTTCCTGTAGCAGAAGCTATTGGTTCCAGCAGTTAACAAGCATTATATATAAACTTTTGTTTTCTTTGTTTTCAATAGCCTGTTTGCATACCATGTGACTTTGAAACGCACACACTTATTCCCATCTTGCAGAGAAGTTGAATGTGCACTTTCTTTCCCCTTCCTTCACTTTACCTGCAGCCTCAGTCAAGCCTAGCGCACGCAAACCTCGTGGGAGACCCCGAAACAGCTCAGACCGAAGTTCAGTTGTGCTCTCAGAGTCCTCACCTGTGTATTCACCTTCAAGCAAACCAGAACCCATCTCCATGGAAAAATTAAAGAGGAAAGAATTGAAAAGTGCAGAAAAGCGACGAGGGAGGCCTCCTGCACTTAGCAGTGTGAAGTTCAAGATCACCCGCAAAGAGGTCATTCCAGATGCTCAGAAAGGAGGCAAGGAGGAAAAAGAGACTCTAAAGAAAATAAAGCGAGCACCTTCCACTACATTTCAGCATGCTGCAAAAATTAAGAAACTAAGAGCAGGAAAACTCTCTCCACTGAAGTCTAAATTCAAATCTGGAAAGCTCCAGATTGGAAGAAAAGGGGTTCAGATTGTACGCAGGAGAGGAAGGCCACCATCTTCCGATCGCTTGAAGACCACACCAGCTCTAGTTGTGAGTTCTCCGTTAGAGAAGGCCCAGAAGGTGCGAAAGGAGAAAGATGGAGTCTCGCCCCTGTCGAAGGATGAGAAGCCAGCTGTGAGGCAGAGCCCCCGCAGGCCTGTGAGGATCATCCCTTCCTCCAAGAGGACGGATGCCACGATTGCCAAGCAACTCTTGCAGAGGGCTAAAAAGGGGGCCCAGAAGAAGATCGAGAAAGAAGCAGCAAAGCTTCAAGGCCGGAAGGGGAGGACGCAGCTCAAAAACATCCGGCAGTTCATCATGCCAGTGGTGAGTGCGATCTCTTCGCGGATCATTAAAACTCCCAAGCGCTTCATTGAAGATGAAGACTATGATCCACCAATCAAAATAGCCCGTCCGGAATCCACACCAAATAGCCGCTTCAGTGCTCCCTCTTGTGGGTCCAGTGAGAAGTCCAGCGGCGCCTCTCAGCACTCCTCTCAGGTGTCTTCAGATTCCTCACGGTCCAGCAGCCCCAGTGTTGACACGTCCACAGATTCTCAGGCCTCAGAAGAGATGCAGGCCTTATCTGAAGAACGCAGCAATACTCCAGAAGTTCACCCTCCGTTGCCCACATCCCCTTCCCCTGATAACGAGAGTGGCGAGAGGAGGAGGAGGAGGTTTTCTATGGCAGAGAGAAATTTTGTGCCCAAAGCAGCTAAAAAACTGCCCAGCCTCCAAAGTGTGTCCCAGCAGCAGCAGCAGTCATCGTCTTCCTCTCCTCCTCCACCGCTTCTCACCCCGCCGCCACCACTCCAGCCAGCTGCCGGCATTTCAGACCATGCCCCTTGGCTTATGCCCCCCACCATCCCTTTGGCATCACCCTTTCTGCCCTCCTCAGCTGCTCCCATGCAAGAAAAGCGGAAGTCGATTCTTCGAGAGCCAACATTCCGTTGGACCTCTCTAAAGCACTCTCGGTCCGAACCCCAGTACTTTTCCTCAGCCAAGTATGCCAAAGAAGGTCTCATCCGCAAGCCCATCTTTGATAACTTCAGGCCTCCTCCGCTGACCCCTGAGGATGTTGGCTTTGCCTCTGGTTTTTCAACGCCTGGAGCTGCAGCTCCAGCCCGCTTGTTTTCTCCTCTTCACTCTGGAACAAGATTCGACCTACACAAAAGGAGCCCCTTGCTACGAGCTCCAAGGTTCACCCCAAGTGAGGCCCACTCACGCATCTTTGAGTCTGTAACTTTGCCTTCTTCTGTTAGTCGATCGGCAGCAGGAAGCACTGCAGCAGCATCCTCTTCGAAGAAGCGGAAGAAGAGAGGGTTCAGCCCAATTCGATCAGAACCCAGATCTCCTTCGCACTCCATGAGGACGAGAAGTGGAAGACTAAGCACCTCTGACCTGTCCACTCTCACTCCATCCTCATCAGTTTCTTCCTCGCTGACAAGCATTCCTGTGGGTTCCCTTACCACCAGTGCCTTAAACTCCACTTTTACTTTTCCTTCCCATTCTCTCTCCCATCCTGGGGAGTCGGCAGAGAAAAGCCAGAGACCGAGGAAGCAGGCAAGCATTCCGGCTGAGCCTTTCTCATCCGGGAGCCCCACTCCCCTCTTTCCATGGTTCACACCAAGTCCCCAAACAGAGAGGGGCAAGAACAGAGACAAAGCCTCCAGTGAGGAACCATCCAAAGATAAAGAAAGTGACAAAGGTCTTGAGAAGGAGAAGAGCAGAGAGAGGGATAGAGAGAGGGAGAAAGAGAATAAGCGGGAGTCCAGGAAAGAGAAAAGGAAAAAGGCTCCAGAGATTCAGAGCAGCTCAGCTTTGTTCCCACTGACTCGAGTTTCCAAAGGAAAAGTTGTCCGTGAAGATGTAGCCATTTCCTCTTCTGCCAAAAAAACTGCAGGCCGGAAGAAATCGGCGGCTGCTGATCCAGCAGCAGATGTGCCTGCTGTGGTTCTTGTAGACTCAGCAGCAGCCATCATCAAGACCAAACTGCCCAAGAAAGGCCGAGGGGGGTTAGAGAAATCCAGTCTGGAACTTGGATTGGCTGCTCCTTCCATGGAAAAGGAAGAATCCCTGCATCTCCCAGCTGCTGCTTCAGTCAACATTGTGAAACATTCCTCCATCAGCTCAGTGCTGGCTCATGCAGACAAACTTCCAATGACTGACAAGAGGGTGGCCAGCCTCCTCAAGAAAGCAAAAGCCCAGCTGTATAAGATTGAGAAGAGCAAGTCCCTGAAGCAGGTGGATCAGCCAAAAGGACAGGTATTTACCCCCAAAGTAGTGGTTTGAAAAAGAGGTAGCACATGAAGGGAAATAACTATGACAATAGAAGGCCATGCAGTGCCTGGCTGGCACCGTGAGGGGGAGGCCAAAGCTCTTGACATAAGTGGCCTGAGTAGGTGCAGCGCCTCAGATTTCTAGGTCCCTGTAAGCAAACCAGAGCGTGACCTCAGATCATCATTTAGCTGCCTCTGCTTTGGAGTCACAGTTCCTACTGAGGTGTCTTTTTGAAGCTTCCTGTTGCCTTGATCTCATGTCTTGCCCATCCCAAGGGAAAGCAATGGCTCCTTCCTTTTTGAATTACTGGTGAGAGGTTTCTCACTGCAGCCTTTTACCTTCATGCTGTATTGTTTTTAACACTTGATTGGGAGCCACCCAGAGTGGCTGGGGAAACTCAGCCAGATGGGTGGGGTATAAATAATAATAATAATAATAATAATAATTATTATTATTATTATTATTATTATTGCTTACCTTTTACCAAGGACAATCTCAACCCACCCTGGCCAGACATATATATATATACACACACACACAAACAAATACACAACAGCCGAGGGATGCATGGCAGTTACCAGATGTCTCCCCAAAGCTGTTGCACTTTTCTAACAGGTGTAGGATTTGGTGGGCTTTTGGTCACGCATGAGGTGCATAACTAGCTGTTTGATGCATTTTGTGTAAGTAGTGGCAGGAATTGTTCCTTTCTTTGCAAGTCTTAGCCTTAGTTAAGCATTTTTACACTTAAAAGGTTACTGTTCATTAGAAGAAAAAAACTACTTCTGATTTCTGCTGTGTCCTCCATTTGAAAACACATTTAGAGAAGGTTCAGAGATCTTTAACCTTCTGCTGGACAAACTGCTTTTACTTTTGAACTTGAATCGCTCCCTGTGGGATGGTTGATTGTGTCTTAACAGCCTTTTCCTGTGTTCTTGCCCTGCTTGGAATTTAGGGTCAAGAGAGTGATTCTTCAGAGACCTCTGTGCGAGGGCCACGCATAAAGCATGTTTGCAGAAGGGCAGCTGTAGCACTAGGCCGCAAGCGAGCCGTCTTTCCAGATGACATGCCCACTCTGAGTGCCTTACCATGGGAAGAACGAGAGAAGATACTGTCTTCCATGGGGAACGATGGTAAGTGTCTGAATTTATGCTGAAGGGTGCTGTTTTCTCCAAGGGTGCATCAGTGGCAAGGGAAGGTATGCGAGGCTGTAGGATGAAGGAGTTGTGTTTCTAGGAAATCTGGATGGGCCCTGCTGTGAAGCTGTTCTGAGAAACCAGCGATGGCCAGCAAAGTCAGTTCTGTTGAGGACTCACTTCTCCTTTATTGATTGCTGAATTAATAGCTGGTCTTTCATTTCACAGACAAGTCCTCGGTTGCAGGTTCAGAAGATGCCGAGCCCCTTGCACCTCCCATCAAACCTATCAAGCCAGTTACCAGAAACAAGGCCCCCCAGGAGCCCCCTGTGAAGAAAGGCCGGCGGTCAAGGCGCTGTGGGCAGTGCCCAGGCTGCCAGGTCCCAGAGGACTGTGGTGTCTGCACAAATTGCCTGGATAAGCCAAAGTTTGGTGGGCGGAACATCAAGAAGCAGTGCTGCAAGTAAGTGTGTGGGTGTGAAGCCCACCCCTGCCCTCCCGTTGCTCTGGGAATAAGGCCCTCCGTTGTTGGTTTATGGTGCTTCTACCCTGTTTCCTATAAAATATTTAGCCAGAGGAAGATCCTTTCACTTGCATCAAAGAAGAGCTAAGGAGCAGAAGACTAGTGACTTTGTCATCCTCGGAGCTTGGCTGCTGCCTTTCCTTCCTTTTGGAGTTCAAAGTGGCAGTTGGGGGCTCTCAAGAGAGTGGCAGGGAAATGGACAGGGTTGGGTGGGGCAGTGGAGAGATCTACCTCCTCTTTTCTTCAGCCTTTTCAGATTTTGGATTTACCCTGCTGTGTATTCTGCTGAACGTGAAAACTAAAGTGTAGTGTGGAGAGTTGATCCCTTGGGTGAATATGTGCCACAGCATGCTTCCTCTGAGCAGCCTTCCTCACAGTGGCTTGGCCAAACCTCAGAGCAAGGTTTCAGATCTTAAACAAAGAGGGAGAACAGTTATCTTCTTCGCATCTTGAAAGTAAGGCTTTTTGAAGATGCTTCAAAAGTAGTTGCTTTTCGGCATAGCAGAAAGGCTGACATAGCAGAGCTGGTGCTGCTGGGGCGATCTTTCTCATCCTTTTAGCCAGATTGGTCTGCCATTGATCTCGAACTTTGGCATGGCTCCAAAGGAGATATCTTTCCACTTGAGATGCATGCAACATGCCTGGGAATCCAAAGGCTTGTTTGTGTCGGGTGATGCATCTTGCCATCTCCTTCCTTTATTCCCCCCTAGGATGAGGAAGTGTCAGAATTTGCAGTGGATGCCATCAAAAGCCTATCTCCAGAAGCAAGCCAAAGGTAGGTGCCTTTTTTTCATTATTTCTATTGCGATGGGGAGAAAAAGGGATAGTTAACAGTTGCAGAGTCTTTGCTTCAGCCTCAGCTCCATCTAGGCAGTGTGGGCAGGCTGGCGTATCCTCCTTAGGCACCACCCTTGCCTCTGGCCGTCGGTCACTTGGGGGAGGCCACTGCCATAGGCTGCGCTATCAGTCATTGCATCTGAGGTGCTGCTTTTGCTTTACAGCTGTGAAAAAGAAAGAGAAGAAATCCAAGTCCAGTGAAAAGAAAGAGATCCATGCTGGGAAGAGCCAGCCAGAGGCTGGACAGAAAGCAGCTGCTCCTCAGCTCACTTTGGCGAAAGAGGATCATGCCTCCAAAAGGGGCAGTGAACCTGCCCGGAAGCCCAGTGAGGAGAAGAGTGAGGAGGGCCCACCACCACTGACTCCGCCTCCCCCAGACACCAAGCAGGCCCCTCCCCCTGCAGCCCGGAAGGCTGCCAAGCAGCAGGCACCGCCCCCCACGCAGGTGCCTCCCACCCCACCGCCTAGTACAGGCCCACCAAAAAAGGAAGCCCCCAAAACCATCCCTGCTGAGCCCAAGAAGAAGGCAGCTCCACCACCAGAAGTGGGTAGGTATTCAATTGCAGCAAAGGTAGTTGTTAGCTGCCTCTGCAAAGTCAAGCAGCCCACCTCTGGACTCCATGGAAGAGATGTGACCACGTCTGCTGTACTAATTGGGCTCTTAAGTGGGTCAGGAAAGAGCAGCCTTGGACACACCTGGGCAGGTTAGCAAGTGTGTGGCGAGCTGCAGGAAATCCTATAGTGCCCACTCCTCCCTAACAAATTGGAATTGCTAGTTCACTGTGTTTTGTTTTCAGCTTTCCACAACAGCGTCTTAAGAAGTTGCTGTTGTCTCCTTAAGTCCCCAAATTCTGTTTGACTGCTAGAAGCAACTCTTGGCTTTTAACAAACTGCATTTGTACTTTTCCTAGGGATCGAGCAAAGCAGACAGAAGAAAATAACTCCTCGTCCAAGCTTACCAGTGAAACAGAAGCCAAAAGAAAAGGTAACCTGCAAGTTGCTCTATGTCTCCAGTGAACAGAAAGAGCTTTCTTCATAGTTGGTTCCTTGCATGTAGCTCTCCTGGCTTTTAGAGAGCCCATGAAGACAGCACAAGTTGAGGATGCCCTTTGGTACAAGTTCTGACCCTGTGATGGCATCACCTACAGATGGGCTGCTTTTACAGTGGCTCTAGGCTCTTAGGGGTCCTTTTGCTTGACTCTCCAAAGTTCAGGTTGGTGTGCAGATGATGATGTTTCTCACTATGGTTTTTTCCCCTCTCCGCCCCCCCCCCCCCCGCCGCCAATAGTTTGTGCATGGAATGGCCTTTCCCCCCCAGAAAAGACAAGGCCATGCACCTTTTAACACTAATAGATTTCAGTTCATGTTTGGGGATGGATACCTACTGGATTGAGTTTGCTTTCAAAATAAGACAGACCAATTCAAAATTTCAGATTTTGCTTTCCAGTTTCTGAAACCCCTGCTGCTCTTTGCTTTTCAAAATGTGAAAGAAGAGAGTCCTCCTTAGATTCCAGCCCATAACTAACTGCATATATATTGAATGTTGGTTTTCCTTTTGCTGCTTGAGCAAAGAAAATGCCATTTTTTTGCCCTCTTTCACCAGGAGAGACCACCCCCAGTCAGCAAGCCAGATAATGGTACCCTCAACCTGTTGAGCACTTTATCAAATGGGAACAGCTCCAAACAGAAACCCCTCATAGATGGAGTCCACAGGATCCGAGTAGACTTCAAGGTAACAGGGTGGTTTTGGGAGGTGCCCCTGCCTTTCTCCACCAGAAACCTGGCCTTGGGGGTTTGTAGGATGTGGCGACATCTCTTCCTTGAAACTCCCATCTTTCTACAAAGAGCTGTTCTGGCGAAAGTTGTTTAGTTTTAGTTTGTAGAGCCTGTTGCTTCTTAAGATAGCACACAGGAGGATGAGAAAGAGTGATGAATACAAAAGGGAATACCAGCAGTTTCCGTAAACCGAGGCAGCCTCCTGAGGCTCTTAATGCCCAAGGAGAGTCTTTATTGTTAGCAACAGCATTAGTTAGGCAGTACATTGGCATGCATATACTGCTGGCACGTGCCTTTTAGAAGATGTCTAGGTATGTATCACTGGTGTGGAGAGAACCGAGGTTAAGTAACTCCATCCAGCACATTCCTTTGTATGTAACAAAAGCTTCGGCAAACAAAACATTTTCATAGTGATGTGTACAGGATCTTCCTGCTTTGCTCCAGTTCTTGTCATTTCCACCACCCCTGGGCCTGGTGTAAGGATAATTCCCTTTCCATGTTCTTCCTTTTGTGTTTTTTAGGAGGACTGTGAGGCTGAGAACGTTTGGGAAATGGGCGGTTTGGGTATCCTGACCTCTGTCCCGATAACTCCCAGGGTGGTCTGCTTCCTCTGTGCCAGCAGTGGGCATGTTGAGGTAAGGGTGAGGTCCCACAGGGACAGTCCACACCAAGCTGTTTGGTGTATGTGTGTGTGATATTTCAGCTACCTAAAACTAAAGGAAATCTGAAGCTGGAATTGAATCCCGAATAAAGGCCATCAGTTAGAGCTGCAGCTTCAACTACCATTTGAAATGCTGCTTTACCTGCCTCTCAAAGCAGGAGGTGTGGTGTCAGATAAGCACTTATGTCTCTAGGCACCGGCTGCAGTTGACCTTTTGTAGCTTCACAAATACATGCTGCTCTTGCAGAGGGGCTCTGGAGATAAAACAGCCCACAGACAAATGGTGCGGAACTTGGTGGTGGAAGAGGGCTCTCTAAGCCTCTTTGAAGCAACTGTTATGTGAAACTGGGGACCAAACCATGAGGGTGGGGTGACCAAAGACTTTCTCCTCCTCCTCCCTCTCCCTCTGGAGCCAGCCAACCAGGGCAAGCTGATGGGCAAATAGTTGAAGTGCACAACTGCTGCAGGATGCGGCTGACCTACTGACTTGCCCCTTCCCTTGTAGTTTGTGTATTGCCAGGTGTGCTGTGAGCCTTTCCACAAGTTCTGTTTGGAGGACAGTGAGCGCCCCCTGGAGGACCAGTTGGAAAACTGGTGCTGTCGTCGCTGCAAGTTCTGCCATGTGTGTGGGAGGCAGCATCAGGCCACCAAGGTAGTCGGAGTCCCTTGATGAGCTTGCCTGTCTCCTTTTGTCCCTCTGGGATGTGGGGTTTGTGGCGTCGCAAGGGATGGCCGCCAGGGATGCTCAGTTTCCCCAACACAGCTTCCTCATTCTGAACTAGGAGTCATCAAATGTCTAAAGCAGAGCTTTCCAAACTTTTCATGTTGGTGACACACTTTTTAGACATACATCATTTTGCAACATAGTAATTCAGTTTTACTAGCAAACTGGAGGTTAAACTATCCCCTTTCCAGCCCCGGGAAAAGCATGGGGAGTGTTCATACAACACACCTACACACAGCAGCTGACACACTAATGCGTCATGAGACACAGTTTGGAAAGCTCTGGTCTAAAGCAACTACTGGAGCATCTAGGCTTGACTTGCTGCTGTTTTCCATGTTTCCATAGCAGTTGCTGGAGTGTAACAAGTGCCGAAACAGCTATCACCCAGAGTGCCTGGGACCAAATTACCCAACAAAACCTACGAAGAAAAAGAAAGTTTGGGTGAGTTCTCTTGCATCGTGGGGACACTTGTAAGGCAGGGATACCTTCCCCTCTTATTATAATCAGACTGCCAGATGTCTTAGCCTGTTGTTGAAAGTGGTCCATTGTTTACAAGGATATGCAATAAAATCAGTCTGAATCATAAACTGCTGGATATGGCAACCCCATCAACTGGCCATTGCGAAAGAGGCAGGCTGAGGCATGGTTTTCTGTTCCATGGCTCACCCGTAGAGGGAAGCATCTTTGGTGCCTGTTATGACTGAATCCTATGATCCCAGAGAGAGGCTGTGCAGCCCTTTATTCCTTGTCTGTCTTTCCAGATCTGCACGAAATGTGTCCGCTGCAAGAGCTGTGGAGCGACAACGCCAGGCAAAGGGTGGGATGCCCAATGGTCTCACGACTTCTCTCTGTGTCACGATTGTGCCAAACTCTTCGCTAAAGGTGTGGAGAGACTGGGTGCATGATAGGTCTGGTCTGCTGCGGAAGTATGCTGTATCATGCTGAATGGCCTGGGAAATGCTGGCAGCTGCAGTTCCATGTGCAGATGCAGCCCTTGCTTTGCTAAATTCCAGTACTTCCTCTAGGGAAGCGGGGGACAGCAGCAGGGAGCACCTTCACACTGAAAGGGGGCAAGTATAGTACTTGCTGCTGGCTGTTAACAGTGGCAATGACTCATAGCCATTCTTGCCCTTTGCGTGGAGTCCCCTGACCGCTAGCCAGCCCTGAGTGTTTGGCTTTGTATACTGATGGTGGGAGATCTGGACCGCCTCTCTGTTTTGCTTGTAGGGAACTTCTGCCCCGTCTGTGACAAATGCTACGATGACGATGACTATGAGAGCAAAATGATGCAGTGTGGGAAATGTGACCGCTGGGTCCACTCCAAGTGTGAAAACCTCTCAGGTGAGGACTGCTTCCAACCCTGCATATATGGAGGAGTAGGATGAACATTTACAACCAGGAACCTTGTGCTTGAGATCCTTTTTGCAGTTTCATCTTAGTCTAAGGGGTGGGTTGTTTCTTCTTGGACTAGGGTGCAGAAGCCAAGGAGCTGAATATCCTGAGCTAATCGTGCTTAGCTGTGGACTTTGGAGCTCAGCTTTGCAGGCAGCAGTTGTGCTGTGGGTTCCTGAGAGTGTGCAGAGAGACACACTTCCCAAGACAGGCATTGGAATCCCTAGAGCTGAGCCCCTTTGCACGATGTAACCTCCTACCATGCTGCCAGATCCCCCACAGATCTGACACTTTTAGCCTCCTGAGGCTTGCCCTCTGCCCCTAATGCTTGCCCTGTCTACCTTCAGATGAGATGTACGAGATCCTCTCCAACCTGCCAGAGAGTGTGGCTTACACCTGCATTAACTGCACAGAACAACCTCCTGCTGAATGGCGGCTAGCACTGGAGAAAGAGCTGCAGCTTTCTTTGAAGCAGGTTCTAACAGCCCTACTAAATTCCAGGACATCCAGCCATTTGCTGCGTTATAGACAGGTGGGCCTCCCTCTCCTTCTATGAACCATACAAATGTACCTGAATTCTGGGTGCTCATAGTGGTACTGTTGGACTTTAAAGCACAATATTCTTCCTAGTGTTTCTAGAAGAAAAGTGGCATTAGAAATGCAGTGCCAGGTGTGTGTGGGAGGGAGTGGAGAGAGAGAGAGAGGGTGACAAGCCAAAGGTTCCAACCAAATGTTTGATATTCTGTCTTGCAATGGATATCACAGAGGAACCCATAACATGAGCAGAACCCATATGGCAATGGCTACCACTCTGCCTTGCTAATTGACAGCATGTGAGAGGGAGTATGTTCTGGGCAGGAGGGAGTCTGTAGGAACATCTGTATCTGCCTGACCTGGGCCAGGCCATTGGTCAAGCTTGCACAGCACTGGCTGCCCTTCTCTGTGGCCTCACTTGTGGCCCTTGCTCCATATCCAAGAAGGACCCCACCGTAAGAGCCATTCACCGTGGACCTCTCCTTGTGTTTATTATTATTACCTTGACTGTGTCTTGACTGCTAACTGTTATTTTGGGCCTTGAAAAGAAATACTTCCCCCTTTCGTGCTTTCTGCACCACTCAAGGTTTTATAACTTCCATCACGCCCTTTCTGCTGTTTTTGTTTCCCCTAAGCCTTTTTTCCAACCAAGGAGACTATAGCCAGAAAAGGCCTGCAGGGCTCTGCCTCCAAGGGCTTCAGGATTCATGCATTAGATGTGGATGTCTGTGTCTAGAGCTCTGCTGGGTATTACCAAGGTTCCAGCTCACATAGAGGCATTTCCCCTGCAGATGCTCCCACCTATGGTGTGAATGTGAGGGCCAAACTTGGTGACCTGGGGTGCAGTGCAGCCCCTTCCAAGACATGTTGCCCCCTCCCACAATTCAGACATGAAGGGGGCTTGTCTCCTCCAATCCTCTGTTATGCTATACTTTTCTGCTCCTCCTTTCAGTCAACTAGATCCTTGTGCTCAGGTAGTGCTTGCAGGATTCCCAAAGGCATCTGGTTGGCCACCATCAGAACAGAATGTTGGACTAGATGGGACTATTGGCCTGATTCTGCAGGCTGTTTGGCTCTTAACCTCTACCCACAGACCTACTAAATAAATGCTTTGTGCTGGGCTCAGAAACTGTTGTACTCTCTTACTGTTGTGTCTCCAGGCGGCCAAACCCCCTGACTTAAATCCTGAGACGGAAGAGAGCGTCCCATCCCGAAGTTCCCCAGAAGGCCCAGACCCTCCTGTGCTCACTGAAGTCAGCAAGCAAGAAGAACAGCAGCTGCTGGACCTGGAAGGAGTGAAAAGAAAAATGGAGCAAGGAGGCTACATTTCTGTGGTGCGTTAACAATTCAGTCAGCATCCCCTTCTTGCTTTCATCATAGCTTCCATGAAGAGAAGGAAATGATGGGATATACAAATCAATTTGCTGTTGTGAACTGCATTGAGGTGGTCCTAAAATGCTACATTTTTGCTATAAATTCCCCCCCTTGTGCCTTGAAGGCGCATGGATGTTTTGGCCACACTACAGTGTTTTATGTTGGCCATGCTGCTCTTCTGAAACATAGGCAGGGAATAAAAAGGAGTTCAAAAATTGAAAAGGAAAAGGTGAACTTCTGCCACTTGATGTTCAGCACTCATGGGTGGGGAAGAGGGGTGGATAAAGTATATCACAGAAGAGGATAGGAAGCTGATTTCTGTGTGTGTCTATCTTGCAGCTGGAGTTTAGTGATGATATTGTAAAGATAATCCAAGCAGCCATTAATGCTGATGGAGGGCAGCCAGAACTTAAGAAGGCCAACAGCATGGTGAAGTCCTTCTTCATTCGGGTAAGCCAAGCTGCATCTTACTTTCAATAAATTGGCAACTGGTGCACTGAAGTTGCATCTTTAATACTCCCCAAGGAGCCCATATTTCTGTTCAAGCTACTGTGTGGCTGTCTGTGAAACAAATTAGGATCTTGTCTGGGCAGTTTATAATAAATCATTCCTGACTGTAAATTTGCAGAGATCTTGGACAGTAGACTTCTTCAAGTGTTTAGTGTTGAGTCCTGTAAAGCATTTCTAATACATTTGTGGGTGTTTTGTTTGTTTTTAAGCAAATGGAACGTGTTTTTCCGTGGTTCAGTGTAAAGAAATCAAGATTTTGGGAACCTAATAAAGTTACAACCAAGTAAGTAACTTGTTCCACTTCCAGCACTCACTTGCTGCAATTGACCTGCCTGTTTCAGCCAAAGGTGGTGCCAGCGCTCTTGCCCCTTGGAAAGAAGATCAGAATTGAATTTCCAGATGTGCCTCTCCTGCTTCTCAAAGCAACTGGCTGCAATTAATTCCTGATCTAGAAAGTAGAAGTGGGTTGTGGTCCTTCTTGTACCAATCTGTGTCTTAGTCCTGCCCCTTGCCCTGCAGAGACAGCTTTGCAGTGAATGAGGGAGCTTTACCTGCCTAAGGGCTATAGTTGGGGCCTCCTAGGTGCAACTAAGTCTGATGCTACCTTTTGTTCATTTCTAGCAGTGGGATGCTGCCTAATGCTGTCTTGCCGCCTTCACTCGACCATAACTACGCACAGTGGCAGGAGCGTGAAGAAAACAGTTGTGCTCAACAACCTCCTCTTATGAAGAAAATCATTCCAGCACCAAAACCCAAAGGTCCTGGAGAGCCAGACTCCCCAACTCCACTGCATCCTTCTACACCACCTATATCCAGTGAGAAACTGAGCCTTTTTGTCTGTGGGAAGTGCTAGGGAATGAGGCTGACACTGGGGGAGGCAGGCTTTAGACCCTGGGGAAAGTCTGGGCCAGCCAGAGTCGGGTACAGAGAGGCTCTTTGCCTTACCCACCATCTGCCGGGACTTCGAAGTCTGAACCAAGCCTCTTTCTCTGCCTCCCCCTTACATCTGCATGGTTGGTTAAATTGTGTTTTATTTTAAAGTGAAGAAAACCTTTTCAATTCAAGCGAGCAGCTAAAACTGTTTGCTGCTCTGGGCATTTGCAAGCTACTTTATTCTCCAGTAAACAGTTCCCAGCCCACATTTTCTTCCAAGCAGTGTTTCTCAGGAGTGATCAGTCCTTTCTCTCTCTCTCTCTCTTTCTCTTTCTCTCTCTGTTCTGAGGTTCTGACAGAAGCTTGGAGGACAGCCCAGAACTTACCCCTCCTCCAGATGCGGAGGATAACCGGCAGTGTGCACTTTGCTTGAAGTATGGCGATGATGGTGGGAATGTAAGTGGCTCTGTCAAGAATGTGTGTTGTGAGCTGTAGAGGCTTTGCCTTCTGGTTCTAGTTAAGGTTGAAAGGCAGGCTTGATCCTTGTTGCACACTCAGTCCAGCTGAGGCAGACTAATATTACCTTTCTTAAAAAAACAAAGGCAGGTTACTATCTTAGTGAATTGTGGAAATGCTGCGGTCATAATTTAGCTGATAACAGCAAAGCATTTTACAAAGCTTGTGTTATTTTGATTAGCAAACTCTGTAAATGGGGACAGGTGATAATATCTGGTGGTTTCACAGCTGGTTAGAAAAGTGCCCTGTTAAGAGACACTTTTCAGTGGTTCCTCATGAAACTGGAGGGATGTTTTGAGTGGAGTGCTGCAGGCTTCTGCTCTGGGCCTGGCATTCTTCCAACAATCAATGACTTTTGGTGTGAACTGGAAATCTGATAAGGATTTAAATATTGGATGAGGGCATAGAGGGAATCCTTACCATAGTTCCAAATGGCACTGAACTTTGAGGGACAGCTAGGACTCCAGAAGACAGAAGGGAAAATAGGCAGAACCCAACAAAAAGAAATTCAGTAGAGACAAATGCAAAGTTCTGAACAAGTGTGGGTGGAATCAGATGCACAAGGATAGAATGGGCAATACATGGCCCAGCAGAAGTGTATGTGAAAAGTATCTCAAGATTGTAGCTTATCACAAGCAGAACACAAGTCAGTGGTGTGATGTGGCTGCAGTGAGATCTTAGTCCGCATTAACAGAGCCATCATCACGTCACAAGAAGGAATAGCTGACTTTATTCTGCACTAGTCAGACCTCATCTGGAGTACTATGTTCATTTCTGGCACCACATATCAAGGAGGATGTAGACAAATTGGGATGGGATCAGAGGAAGATAGCAAAGATGGTCAAAAGTATGGAAGACAAGTCCTATATAAGGAACCAGTTATGCTTAGCTGAGCGAAGAGATAACTGAGATGGAACCTAATAGCACTCTACAAATCCTTGAACGCGCTGTGTCACATGCAAGAGTTCGCAAAGGCTTGTTCTCTATGACTCCAGGGGTCAAAGGGTTATATCTCATAGACTTAAGTTACAGGAGGGTAGATTTGGATTGAACAATAGAGGAAATTTCTTGACAGTAAGAGCAGCTGGACAATGGAGGGGTGGTGAAATACTCCCTCTCTCTAGAGGTCTTTGAGCAGGGGCTGGAGAGCCCTCTGTCTGCTGGGAATGCAAAGGGCAATATAAAAAAATAATAAATCATAATAATAACCTAGCACTGGGTGTTCTGTTCTGAGCAGGGGGTTGGCCTAGACAGCTGCAAAGACCCTTTAAACTGTCTGATTCCATGAGCCACCTTTATGTTTGCCAGCTTTTGTTTCACTGTGGCTGCTGCAACATGTGCCCAGCAGTTGTGGGGTGGGGAGTGCACTTGCCTGATTTCTGAGTGTTTCTGGTGGCCTTCTGCTGTCTTGCAGGATGCTGGCCGTCTCCTCTACATCGGCCAGAATGAGTGGACCCATGTGAACTGTGCCCTGTGGTCAGCTGAAGTTTTTGAAGATGACGATGGCTCCCTGAAGAATGTGCACGTGGCAGTGATCAGAGGGAAACAGCTGGTGAGTAGGAACAGGTTGGGCTCAGGAGTCTGTCCAGGAATGAGGATTTACATTTCAAAAGCAGCTAAAATGTTTCTCTTCTGCTGTTACAACAGCAAAGAAGAATATTGGAAAGCCCACAGCATGTCTCCATGGAGAGACAGCTCATGTTTGACGTTAATGGCCCAACTTAAAAAAGAGCAAAAGCCTCACATGATTCTCCACAGTTGAAGTAATGGGCTTCACAGGATGGTGTATCTGAAAAAGACAGAGATCCTTGAATTCAGCTTCCAGCAGTTCCAGACTGCAAAGAATCAAAAGCACTGGTTACTTGGACATTCACAAGCAGCTCTATTATTGTAGCATGTGAACCAGATCATCACCTGGCTTCTGCAGCAGACAGATGTGAGCAAGTGCCCGCGTCTCCTTGTAATGATTAGGAAGGGGTGTCTTCTGTGGACTCTCAGTGGCCTGAAGTGTAGGAAGTCACAATCACAGGTGGCCAGCTTGGGCTGCTGTCCTGCAAGTGCCAGCAGTTGTGGCTAGTGGCTGTGGCAGCTTTTTTGTGTTCTTAATCAATCACTGATCCCTTTTGCATGCTCAGAAATTGCTCTAAACTGTTTTTAAAAACCACCTTTCTCCTGAATTGGAATTAAATTGGGAAGTCCAGACAATGTGTGAGTTTGTAAATGAACAACAATGAAAAAAGGCTGCACTCAGATTACTAACAGGTTGTTTTGGACAAGATGAAGTGTGTTTGCTAAATGAGTGGTGGAACAGCAGCAGTTCTGTTGCTTTCTCTTTGTTTGTTGGCAATCTGATATGCATGTCATAGATAATCATATTAGGAGTGTTGCTGCTTTTGACAGTGCTGCACTAGTCCAGTGTATTTGTTTAGGCCATTGGCCATAACAACAAGATGCTTTCCCTAAAAACCCAACCCTCAAACCTTGCAGAGATGTGAATTTTGCCTGAAGTCGGGTGCCACAGTGGGCTGCTGCCTGACCTCCTGCACAAGCAACTATCACTTCATGTGCTCCCGGGCCAAGAACTGTGTCTTCCTGGAGGATAAGAAAGTCTACTGCCAGCGCCACCGGGACCTGATCAAAGGAGAGGTGAGCCCAGCCACCACCCCCAGGCCTTTGCCCAGCTGTACTCCCCCCCCTCCCCATTTCCCTGCTCTTCTCAGCTCAAGCTGTGTGTTTTCACCTTAATACTGTATAGGCCTCTTTTTGTGTGTGCTTGCTGTAGGTGGTTCCCGAGAATGGCTTTGAAGTCCTAAGAAGAGTCTTTGTGGATTTTGAAGGGATTAGTTTGAGACGAAGGTTTCTTCATGGTCTGGAGCCAGAGAACATCCACATGATGATTGGTGAGGGCCCTCTGCCTCTGGCCTTGGCAATGTGCCTGGTGGAATTCAGTTACTGCCTTCCTCACACAGAACGTTGCCTCTTTGGTTTTCTTGTAGGGTCCATGACGATTGACTGCCTCGGGATTCTGAGCGATCTGTCTGACTGTGAAGACAAGCTGTTCCCCATTGGTTATCAGTAAGTAGGAGCTGTCTCCTGAATAGGCAGCAGCAGCAGCAGAATCCATGTTATTTTCCCTGGAAGATGCCGTGAGGACCACCCAGGAAGTCTTTGGCCTTCCTTCTCCTCTTGCCCCAGGGAAGGGCTTTTGCAGGCATGCACAGCTCCGTGTAGATGTTGTAACTCTTAAATGTTTTCCCAGGTGCTCTCGGGTGTACTGGAGCACAACGGATGCTCGGAAGCGCTGTGTGTACACTTGCAAGATCATGGAATGCCGCCCTCCTATCCTTGAGCCAGACATCAACAGCACAGTAGAGCACGATGACAATAGGACCATCACGCACAGCCCCAGGCCACTTTCAGGCAAGTTTCTGCAGGCATGGCTTGGCTTGAGATTGTGGCCTTTGTGCCAGGCCTGTGGGTGCCTGTTTTTTCTACTGCTCAGCTCTTCCAAAGACAAAAGCTTCCTTCTTCTGGTCAGTCTTTGCTATGAGGCAGGGCTTGTAATACCTTTTGGTGACAGCAGTAGCAGCACACACTTGGAGCAGGGCAAAAAAGGGGGGTTCCCTGGTAAAGATCACATCCTCTACTTTGGCAATGGGATTTGGAGTGGATCCTGGCCCTTGTTCTATAACTGAGTCACAGAATCATAAGTGTTGGGAGGAACATCAAGGTCTTCAACTCCCAACTCTGCTCTGTGCAGAAAGACACTCCAGCATTTGCCCAGGTGTCATGCGTTTCTGGAGACTAGATTATGATATGCTTGATCTGAAACAACAAGGGACTTTGTCCTTCTGAGATGCTTGGGGCATGGTGGGGGGGTGCTTCTACCTAGTACTCTTAATGTTTGGCCCTCACCTGCTCCCAATGACACATCATGTCCAGCTTTGCATTCTGGTTTTGGCCTAGATGCCAAAAGACTGCAACCTTTTTTCTTTTTCCCCCTCTTTTACTTTCTGCCTCCCTCCATGTATAAAGATTTTTCTGTCAACATTCCCTGAGGGAGGAAGAAAGGATGTTATTGAGGGAAAAGGCCTCTAGTACTCCCCTACGTCCCTGAAGCTGTTTTGTTCAAATGCACCCTGGGTTTTGCCTGAATCCATAAGTTCCTTATTTCTTTTTCTTCATCAGAAATTCCAGCCAGAGAAGGCCATGCAGTGTCAGCGGTTGTGAGCACTCCCTCTTCAGACTTCCTGCCACATTCTCAGAACTGCAGGGCTCTGCGGATCAGAGCGCCAAGTTTTCCTCCCGCCCTGCGATCTCCTGGTTCAAGGCCATTGCCCTCTGCAGGTCTGGCCCTCCACCTTCCTCCGCTGCTTTCTCTGGTTTTCTTTGACGTCTGTTCATTCTTAGTTTAGCAATTTCTTCAGGCTGTCCTCAATGGCATGGAACCTTGTTTCCACCTTCTCTATTGGGTTTAGGGCTTAATAAGTGCTGGGGTGCAAAAGACTTGTTGTCGTCCTCATCATCAAAGGCCAAGCTCTGAGGATGCTGGTAGAGGGGGGCATCTTCAGTCATTTCCCCTCCCGCTTTCTGGGCATCTCACCTACATACTTAACATGTAGTTTTTCCTCACATTTAACCTTGTCATGTGAACCATGTTTGAGTTGCTGACAACTTGTAAACCTCCCTGAGCTTTTGGGCTGAGGTGGGCTCCATTTTTAAACAAAACTGAACTAAGAACTCTAAACCACGCCTTGAAGGATAATGTACTTTGCAAATTCTGCTCACCGACAATCCTAGCTGGTGACTGACTCACCTTGTGAAGTCAGAAGACCTGGCCTAGGTGAGAAAAGGCCTGTCAGGATATTGAAGCCCAGAACTCCATCTGCAGCTCAGATGGCCACCCCTCCTCTTCCCCAGCCATAGGAGTTTGTCAGGGGGCTGGATCAGAATTTGAAAGAACCTCAGGGAAAGGTCAGTCTGCTGTTCTTACAGTTAAGAAATATTTCTGGGTAGGCAAGACCAAACATGCTCCTGTGCAACTTGAAGTCAGAAGGAAAAAGCTATAGAGTGTTTGTTTCAATGAAGCCAACAGTAGAAGGAATAATTAGATCAAGAAAGCGGTTGACTCTGGGGGTTTGGGCTTTGCTTTACTCCTTGTCTGCATAGATCCAGATATTTGCATTCAGCAGATGACCTCAAATTCAGTTCTAATATTCTTCCCCATCTTCTGTCTTTTCCCAGGGAGCCCCACCCACATTACACACGAGATCGTGACTGTGGGAGACCCCCTTCTGTCATCTGGGCTTCGAAGCATTGGCTCCAGACGACACAGCGCCTCCTCTCCTCTGCCCCCTCCACAGTTGAGGTCCTGGATGATGCCTTCCAGCAGAGCTGGGGCCACTCACTCCTCCAGGCACAGCCTCTCTTCAACACCCAGCCTGTCTCCCTTGCCAGAGCACGACTTGAGCACAAAGCTTTCAGAGCGTTCTTCGGGCCCAGCAGCCGGACGCATTGCCACCCAGAGTAGCTCTGCCCCTCCCTGTGGTGGTCAGAGGCCAGCAGGGACAGGTGGAGGAGGCACAAGCACTTCCTTGGAGGGAGCGCTGTCATTAGAAGCAATGGGGCCTCCAGGGACAGAGAAGAGCAAGCTGATGAGCCAAAAAGACGCAAGTTCTTCCCTGGGCAATTTGAAGGCCAGTACTCCTGTGCAGAGTGCTTCTGGCACCGAGCCAAACACCAGCAAAGTAGGGAAGCTTCCAGAGCCCTCTTCTGGGCTGTTTTCTTCCAAAGAGGCAGTAGCCTTTCCACCTTTACATCAGAGACCCCCAAAGAAGGAGCAAGAGCAGCAGGTGGATCTTGTAAAGCCAGAAAAGAACTGCTCTTACGAGGATCCAGAAGCAAAGATCTCCAAGCTTTCTGGGGCAAGTAACAGATCTCCTCCTTCCATAAGTGACCCAGCACCTTCTGTAGGCAGAGATAGGCGGCAGCAGAAGGGGAAAAGGGGAGCCAAAGAGAGACATTCCAATAAACTCTTTACAAATCCGAGCCTCCTCACACCTAGCAACAAAGACAGCGCAGAGCCAGAATTTGTTCATCAAGCTGTGACGCCTGAGCATGTGAACCAGAAGCTCTGTAACAATGTTGTGGCTTCAGAGAAGGCCCCCGATAGACAGCTGCTTAACCAGAAGACCTCCAAGGTCCCTTCCCAGGGCGAAGTGGCCACTTCCAAGGATCTGCAGGCTTCCCAGAAGCGCACAGTGAAAGTCACATTGACTCCTCTCAAGATGGAAGGTGATAGCCAGTCCAAGAACATTCAGAGGGAGGGTGATGTAGAATCTCAGCCTAAGGAGAGCAAACCAGCTTCCCTGGCACAATCCTCTTCCACTCCAGAACGGTCAGGAAACGGCTCCCTGGTTCAAGACAGCCCAAGTTGTGCTTCAGTCCCCGAGGCTCCAAGCGAGGCCTACCAGAGTCTTCCTGTTCAGGAGAGCAACTTGATGCTCCAGGAGACAGCCAAAGCCCAGGAAGACGGGGCCTACAAGCGGCGGTACCCCCGGCGCAGCGCACGGGCCAGATCCAACATGTTCTTTGGGCTGACTCCATTGTATGGTGTGAGGTCTTACGGGGAAGAAGACATTCCCTTCTACAGCAACTCCACTGGGAAGAAGCGGGGAAAGAGGTCTGCTGAAGGGCAAGTAGATGGTGCCGATGACCTCAGCACGTCGGACGAGGATGACCTTTACTACTACAACTTCACCAGGACAGTGGTCTCAAACACGGAAGAGCATCTTGCTTCTCCTCACAACTTATTCCGGGAGGAGGAACAGTGCAGCCTTCCCAAAATCTCTCAGCTGGATGGTGTGGATGACGGGACAGAAAGTGACACAAGCATCACGGTGACAACCAGGAAAGTCAATCCAGTGACCAAAAGGAGTGGCAAAGAAAATGGAACAGAGAGCTTAAAACTTGATCGGAGCGAAGAGAGTGGGGAGAAAGCACAAGTCACCAAGAGCTCAGCTGGCCACAAAGCAGCCGAGCCCAAGATGGAGAACTGCCGCGTAAAAACCCAGAGCCAGGATCCTCTGGAAGCTCAGCTGAGTTCTTTAGAGGCCAGCCGCCGCCCTCGTGCCAGCACCCCTTCGGAGAAGACCCTGCTGGATACCTTCAGCACAGAGCTGCTCAAGTCCGACTCCGACAATAACAACAGTGACGACTGCGGGAACATTCTCCCGTCTGACATCATGGACTTTGTGCTGAAAAACACCCCCTCCATGCAAGCCCTCGGAGAGAGCCCTGAGTCATCGTCCTCCGAGCTCCTGACGCTGGGAGACGGGCTGGGCCTTGACACCACCAACCGGGGCAAGGATATGGGCCTCTTTGAAGTCTTCTCTCAGCAGCTGCCAACCACAGAGCCTGTTGACAGCAGTGTTTCGTCATCCATCTCGGCAGAGGAGCAGTTTGAGCTGCCTCTGGAACTGCCTTCTGACCTCTCTGTCTTGACCACTCGGAGCCCAACAGTGCCCAGCCAAAATCACGGCAGACTTGCTGTCATTTCAGAATCCTCGCTCTCCTCCTCCTCGTCGTCGTCAGGAGAGAGATCACTCTTAGCTTTGCCTTCTACGGAGTCTGCCGAGAAGAGGGTGACTGTCACAGAGAAAGCTGCCTCCAGTGAAGGGGAGCCAGCTCTGTTGAGCCCACGAGTGGACCCAAGCCCTGAAGGACACCTGACCCCTGACCCCTTTATTCAAAGTCACATGGAAGCAGAGCACATAGCCAGCCCCCCATGTGGACCAGGAGAGCCAGGCCGTTCAGCCAGCCAAGACTTGGCCAGAAATAGCGGGACACCTGGTCTCCAAGTGCCAGTATCTCCAACCCTCCCACTTCAGAATCCTAAGTATGGCCCAAACTCCACAGAGAACCCTGGCCCATCTCAGATTTCCAATGCTGCTGTGCAGACAGCCCCCCTCCACCTCAAGGCAGCTGCAGAAAAGCTCCTGGTGGTTAATCAGAACATGCAGCCATTGTACGTCCTTCAGACTCTTCCCAATGGTGTCACGCAAAAGATACAGCTGACCTCTTCTGTCAGTTCCGCGCAGGGCGTGTTGGAGGCCAGCGCTTCTGTGCTTGGGCCCCTGGGCCCAGGGCTGGCACTAGGGGCCGGTGTAAACCCCAGCTTGCCTTCCTCCTCCCAGCCTCTCTTTCCACCAACCAGCAAAGGGTTACTGCCGATGCCCCATCACCAACACTTGCACTCCTTTTCTGCAGCCCCCCAAAGCAGCTTCCCATCCTCCCTTGGCAGTCCTGCCTCAGGACTTCTGATTGGTGTCCAGCAACCACCTGACCCCGAAGCAAATCAGAGAGCCGAGATTGGGTCCACAGCCACCACGCCACCCTCTGGCCTCAGCAAGAAAAGGCAGATTTCGCGCTTGCCATCGCGCAAGAACAAAAAGCTTGCCCCTTCCGCCATCACCCCGTCTGACATGGTCCCCAACATGACATTGATTAACTTCACTCCTTCCCAGCTCCCCAGCCATCCAGGCCTGCTAGATTTGGGAACTGCCAGTAACCCTGCATCCCACAGAACTGTCCCCAATATCATCAAGCGTTCAAAGTCTGGGATAATGTACTTTGAGCAGACCCCTCTGCTGCCCCAAGGGGTGGGAGCAACTGCAGCAGCAGTTGGAACACCCCCTAGCGTGGCTGGGCCAGACAGCGGTCATCTTGCAAACAGGCCAGTGACAGGCCTAGCCTCTGCTGGATCCATGCTGAATGTGGTGTCAATGCCAACGTCATCAGCACCTTCCACGGGCACATCAGTCCCCAGCGGGCATGTGCTGGGGAGGGGGTCCGTTGCACTACCTAGCTCTGGGCTGCAAGGAGTATCTGACATGGGCTCCATCAGCAACCTCTTGATCAAAGCCACTCAACAGAGCTTGGGTCTTCCGGAGCAGCACGCCGCAGTGCCACCATCTGGCTCCGGGATGTTTTCACCACTAGGCGATGCCTCATCGGCCCAGTCCACAGTCTCAGTGGCGGGGACGGCAGCATCCAGCATCTGTGTCTTGCCTTCTGCACAGACTATGGGCATGACCACTGACCCCGAAGGATCTTACCAGCCTGGGCCTCTGACACAGATCCTGGCCAGCAAAACTGGTGCCGTCCCGCCTCAGGTGGATCTTGCGCCATCCCAAGCTCCTCCGCATTCAGGCTTTCCCCAGTTGGTGGACATCACTAACCCTGCAGCACTGGAGCAAAACAAGACCTCCTCATCCGTCACGCGTGCCAGCTCTACTTCTCCTGCGAGCTCCACATCCTCTGACCAGCTGCTTGGAAGCTCCTCCATGAAGGTCAAAGCCAAAGTGAAACGGTCTCAGTCCTCATCAGACAGCAGCATCAGCAAAGGGTCTGGGAAGAAGCACAAGATGTCTCACTTCTGGTCCAGCTCCCCTGAGAAGCACATTCCCCAGCAAGGCACCAACTCTGCAACCCAGGACTTGGCTGGAGGGTAAGAGATGGAGGTCTTTGGTCCCCCCCCCCCCTGTTTTCCCAGCCCCTTCTGAACCCGTCATCCTTTTTGTTTCTTTAGTACTTCTGCTGTAGGAACTTCTGTAACAAAGCCTAGATGGAAAACAAGCTTCATTCAGAAACCAGCAGGCAGTCTGCTTGTCTGCCAATGTACATTTGAATCAGAAAGCTGTTGTGTATTTGATGCAGCTCCTGAATATGAGCTGTGATGCTTGAGGGCCTTTTCTTTGAAGGAAAGAGGGAGAAGCTGCTTGAGCTGCTAGCTGTTCATGCTACTGATCTGCTTTATTTGCAGCAGTGGGTGTGATGGGACTGTACTAAATGGGAAAGTGTGGGGGGTGGAAATTTGACAGCCTCAGTGGCAGCTCAAGATCACCTCTTTGACTCCATATTATTATTATGAAAGATTCCTTTAGAAAACCCAACAGCTACGTTTTTAAAATGGAGTTTCTCTTGTAAATGCTGCTTGATAAATGTTGCTTCTTGGAGAGCCAGAGAGGTCAGTCTTGCATTGGCTGCAAGTGGAGCATTATCTGGCTTGTGACTAGTCATTGTAGTATGAATAATCTTGTCTGTTCCAGGGTTCCTACCCTGAAGATGCACATGGAGGAAGAAGAGGAAGGGGCCACAAGTGTAGAGCAGCCCCCACCCAAAGTGGCAGACAGGTAAGGCAGTCTCCCAGGTTGTGGTCACATCAAGAGTGCCTGTGTTTGATGTATGCTTGTGGGGCGGGAGGGATGTTGGCAGGCAGAGGTACACATGTGCCTGGCTGCACAAACATTGTTCTGCCCCAAGAAAGCAACCATACTTCTTAATATGTTTTGGGCAGTTCCAACAATGAAACATTGATAACCAGAGCCTACAGTAGGGTCACTCTACTGCTGACCTCAGAGGCTTTAGGTTTTCTCTACTTGCCTAAAACATGGATACCCCTCTCAGAAAGCTCCAAGTGATGTTCTTTGCATTGAACATCCCAATTTCCCACTTGCCCTGCTGTTTAGAAGGACGGACAATGCTGTGCTGTTGCTTGGTCCTTTTTTCGGAGCGCTTGCCACTCAGCCAAACGTATTATAAGTAGCAGGCCTCTCCATCCAGTGGAGACTCACGGCTCAGAGTGTTTTGTTTAGCTTCTCCCTTTGGCATCTGCTGGGGAATTAAAACTCCTAAAAGGTTCAGTTGTTGAAACAGGAGCGGATTCTTGCATTGTTTCCAGCTGTGCTTCTCTCCACAGGCAAACGGCATCTGTTCCAGAATCACAGACAGCACAGAGCACTGCAAGTGAGCAAGAGCCCACAGGTATGTTGTCCATCGACCTCACGTACAAACTGAGCACCAGTTCACAGACGTTCCACTTGGAAAGGCACATATATCTTCAAAATAATTTTTTTTATTATTATGTTTTTATACCTTGCTGGAAGCCGCCCAGAGTGGCTGGGGAAACCCAACCAGATGGGCAGGGTATCAGTAATAAAATTGCTATTATTACTCCCAGTTGTAAGCTTGCCCTATGATTCTCCTTGTATGCAGCCCTGCTTGAGAGAGCCCTCGGCAGCTCTCTTAGTTCATGAGAGCCTTTCCCTACATTCTTAATGTTCATTATTTGGTGGCTTTGGCTTTGCCAAGGACTCTGGAGGTAAGAAGATCTTGTTTTCCTTCCAGACTCCAGAGCTTCTGAGGATGAAGAGAGCACTTTCAGCTCCCCACTTATGTTCTGGCTGCAGCAAGAGCGGAAGAGAAAGGAGAGCCTCGCTGAGAAGAAGCCCAAGAAAGGACTGATTTTTGAGATCTCAAGCGATGATGGATTTCAGATCTGTGCTGAAAGTATTGAAGGTGGGAAAGGGGGCAGGTGGGGCAGGTGACATCTGCTGCAGCTGCTTTGGGGTTAGATGCATTTTCGCTGTGCTCATCTTACAAAGGTCACCTTTAACTGCTTTGCACCTTTCCAAGTGCTGCAGGGACAGCCCTGTGTGAAGTTTGCAGGAATGCAGAGCCACCTGGCAGCAATTGTGAATTTTACGGTTTAAAAAGGAGCGAAAGGGAAGCTTTTCTGGAACACTCCTCCCTCCCACTGAATCATTTCTTGTTTATCTTCATCTCAGAGGCCTGGCAATCCCTAACTGACAAGGTTCAGGAGGCTCGTTCCAATGCCCGCTTGAAGCAGCTATCCTTCGCAGGTAAGAAAGGCGGCAGCAGGGTTGGGAATTCCAAACCCCTTGCATGGATAGGAAGACAATAAGAAAGTGCCTTGAATGTCACTGCTGTCCTGTAGGCCAAGACCTAGGCAGGGACTTTGCCACCTGGGCCTGCTTCCTTGCGCTCCATAAACACTAGAAAGAGTCTCACAGGATGCCCTGTTTTCTTAGGATACAGTACTTTGGTTGCACAAACAGCTTAAGGACAAAGAATGAGGTTTGTGCTTCTTTTGGAACACCCTCTGCATCATTTAAGCCTGTGCCTAGCCGTAGAGATTTGGGCCCATTTGAGCTGCTCCACCAGTTTCTTGAGCTGCTTCTTGCCTAAAGGCTGGGCCATGTTGCCGCCATCACCACCAGTCTTCTTCTTACAAGGAGGACTGAAGGGAGCCACTGGGCATAGCCTGGGCTGGACAGCCTCTTCTACCAGCAAGCTGCCTTCCCTGCCTACTCTCTCCTTATTCCAGGTGTGAGCGGATTGAGGATGCTGGGAATTCTGCACGATGCTGTTGTGTTCCTGATAGAACAGCTGTCTGGGGCGAAGCACTGCCACAACTACAAGTTCCGGTTCCATAAGCCAGAGGAGGCCAAGGAGCCCCCAGTGAACCCCCATGGCTCTGCCAGAGCTGAAGTGCACCTCAGGTCAGTGGCAGACTCTGCACTCATAAAACCAAAGCACCTGCTTCAGAGATCCTTCAGTGGTTTGGGGGTGAGGCTTTCTGTGGAGAGACAGTGAAAATAAATTCTTCAAATATCAGTTTGGGAGGGAGGCACATGAATAGCCTGTCATCATTGAACAGACTTGGGCCCAGGTGCTCCCTAGTTGACATATAGGAGGAATCCAGGAAGGAGAGGGTTAACTGCCCCAACTGTCAAAGACAAGGAGGGTCACATGATGGAAGACCAGAGTATCTCCACCCCCAGGGAGGAAAAGGTTGCTAGAATCCCACAGAAGGCTCTACAAAGGGGCTGCTGTGGTTTTAGCTCAGACCAGACACTTTGAAGTTTCTCCACACAGTATAGGGAGCCAGTGTAGAGCCTAGTGGGCTTCTGGCAGCCGGTCTGGGAATGCCGCATTGTCCTGGAGGAGAGAGGAGCATTGTGTGGCTTGTAAGGCAGCCCATTAACCCTGAGAGCCAGTCTCACGCCTCTTGGATCTTCATTGCAGGAAGTCTGCCTTCGACATGTTCAATTTCCTGGCTTCTAAGCACCGCCAGCCGCCAGAGTACAACCCCAATGATGAGGAGGAAGAGGAGGTGCAGCTGAAGTCTGCCCGGTACATAGCGGGTGCGGAGGCGAGTTGGTGGGGAGGGCTAGAAGGCTGCTCCTTTTTGATCTCGTCAGCAGTGGTGGGAAGCTAAAGAACGGGGAAGGGGTGCAGATTTTGCCTCCTGCAGCTGCCCCATAAGCCAGCCTCTCAGCAGTTGGCACTGCAAAGTGGCTTGTGGAGCAAGGTGGGGCTTGGCAGCTCAAAGGCCCCATTGGTTGAACTCTTTCAAACAGCCTCTTTCCTCCTCTCTTCAGGAGGGCAACCAGCATGGACCTTCCCATGCCCATGCGGTTCCGACACTTGAAGAAAACCTCCAAGGAGGCAGTTGGTGTCTACAGGTAGGTGGGTGGAAGGTGGTAGGCACTGGCGGAGGAAGAGGGGGGCAGGGGGAGCACATTGCCGCCGGCAGCGCGATACCGGTGGGGTTCCATCACAGCTGCCCCCGCTGGATGCCACGCCCCCAGGATGCACGCCACGGCCCCGCCTGCTCTCCGCCGCTGTTGGTAGGTGGAGGCCACCTTAGCAGGATAAACGATGGGGAGGGTAGAACAGCCTAAGCCAGCAGGGCTTAGCAGAACAGCAATGAGAAAGTGCCTGGAATGACTCTCCTAGGTCATGTGGACAGATCTACTCCTAGATGGGTTGCCTGCCTGCCTGCCTCCACGTTCAGGGTGAGGCTTGCTACCTCTATGGGTGCAGCACCTAACACCCGTGGCTGCGCTGTGTGTTCCTCCTTGGCAGGTCTCCTATCCATGGCCGGGGCCTGTTCTGCAAAAGAAACATCGATGCAGGAGAGATGGTGATCGAGTATGCCGGCAACGTGATCCGTTCCATCCTAACTGACAAGCGTGAGAAGTACTATGACAGCAAGGTAAGCCTTAGCAACAGCGGAGGCACTGCTGAAACCCAGCTGGTCATGAGTGCTGGCCACAGGGGCCCTGAGGTTCTCCTGAGTGAGGACAAGGGCTGCCCAGGCCTTCAGTAAAGCATTGGGAACAGCAGGCCCTGGGTTCTTTGGTCGGAATGCACAGTGCAGGGGTCACCCTGCCAGCACTTGAGCAGTTCCTCCTTATGTAAGGCAAGTGCCAGCACTTAAGCCTTGGAAGCAAAAGAGGGATGAGAAGTGGTGGCTGCACAGGAAGAGGTTGATTTTCCTGCAGAAGGGAGGGGGATCCTCGGCTGGGTTGCCCCTCCCACTTGCTTCACTAGGCAGGATTATGTAAATTAAGTTGAATTTACCCTTTAGTGGGTTGGCGACCCTTCCTTCTTGCCCAGCTCCCAGTGCAGGTAGGGTGACAGCTTGCCTGTAATCCTTTTTTGGGTTGCTGAAGAGAGAGCTTCTGTTGCTATTGCCTTCAGGAAAACAGGGAAGCAGAAGATGGCTCAGAGAGCAGCTAGTCCTCCCTCGCAGTGGCCCCTGTTCTCCCATCGGGAGAAGACATTTTGTCCTAGGAGCCTCTTGAGGTGACAGGATTGGTACCTGATTTTCCTAGGAGCTGGTAGTCAGGTCCTTCTCAGGTGCAGGCAGGGGCTGCTGCAAGATCTGTGGAAGGGTTGTGGGGCTCTTGCCATGCATTCCCACCCCCACCCCCACATCATAGAAGGTATGGCTCCCCATCCCAGATGTTGCCAGTGTGTCTAGCATATCCTCATGCAGGGATCTGGAGCTGGCTCTGCTCCCACCTTCCCTATTCAGGAACCTGGTTTGGGGCTTCTTGAGCCTTATTGGGCTCAGGTTTGGAGAAAAGCTCAGCCTTTCTGTGTTTGGACAGGAAAGCCATCAGGTTGCCAGCCTTAGCAGCACTCTTACGACATAGGCTGAAATGTAAAACCTGATTGGAATGAGGCCTCCAGTTGTACTATTATGATACGTGAAGATTTCTTAGGCTTGCAGCACAAAAAAGAAAGAGAATTTTAGAGTTGGGAGGGTCCTCTAGTCCAAACCTCTGCAATGCAGAAATCTCAGCTAAGGCCTCCATGACATATGGCCATCCAACCTCTGATTAAAAAATCTCCAAGTGGCTTACTTTCTTTTTAAAACAAAAGTATAAGTCATAAATAAAGAATACATTACAATAAAGACCTGTAACAATTCACAGAAACTTCACAGACTCAAATAAATACAGACACTCATCAGTCAGTCTCCCTGGCACGTCCTTTGGCAACCTTTTAAAAGGCGTGTTGAACAGGCATGGGTTGGCTTTTATGTTGCAGCTGGTCATGTCTGAAGGGTTAGCTGTGGTGGTGCCCTGTGACCTGAAACCAGCCCATCCTTTCTCCCTGCCCCCTCCTCTCCTGGCCCAGGGCATCGGCTGCTACATGTTCCGCATTGATGACTCCGAGGTGGTGGACGCCACCATGCACGGGAACGCAGCCCGCTTCATCAACCACTCCTGTGAGCCCAACTGCTACTCCCGAGTCATCAACATTGATGGGCAGAAGCACATAGTCATATTTGCCATGCGCAAGATCTACCGCGGCGAGGAGCTGACCTACGACTACAAGTTCCCTATCGAAGACGCCAGCAACAAGCTGCCCTGCAATTGCGGTGCCAAGAAATGCCGCCGGTTCCTCAACTGAACGCTGACTGACCTGGCTGTCATAGGGGTTGGGCTCCGCCAGTCTCAGGCGTGTGGAAGGTGGGGTGGGTGGGGTGGCCCTCCCACGGCAAGTGGGTCAAGCCAGGCAGCAGGTGGCCGAGGCCTGGTATTGTTTGCTGCCTCCTTGGCTTTGTGAAAGGTCCTGCCCAGATGATGGACTTCGTTGTCCCGTCTTGCAAGGAAAACTGCTGGAGTGTTGGGCTGCTGCAGCAGCCAAGGACTGCCTTGAGAGGTGGGGCTTCCCTTCCCGCACACTTTGGTGGGCCCTTGCCTCCTCAGACTTGGAGACATGGCCTGCAGGTCTCCGTGAGCTGCCCTTGTGTCTTGCCTCTGGTTGCTGTTCCCTGAAATTCCCATGACTTGTCGAGGAATAGCTCATCAGTATTTGAGCAGGCAAGCAATGAGGACTGAGGGCTTCCATGCGCTTTGGGTGAGGTTAGGTTAGAAGTGCAGCCGAGGTGGACTCCCTGCCCTAGGAAGCAGGCTGTCCTGCCAGGCATTCAGTCCCTAGAGCCCTCTCCCTGCCCTGCATCTGCCCTCCAGTTGGGACTCCAGAGGAAACAGAGCCCCACAGGCAGTGGGCCTGGTGCCTCTCTGAGCACCAGCCTACAGCAGCTGATAGCATTTCCTTCCCTACCAGCTGCTCTCTGACATAGGAAAAGGCAGGGAGTGCCAACACTCCCAGTGAGCTAGAGGCTGTGGGTTCCCTGGTCCAAGATTGGGGGACCCAAAAGGTGATGGATCTCCCTAGTGGGATCATGTGCCCGTTTAAAAGCAAACACAAGCAGCACAACTTCCTTTCAGCCTCCTTCAGTTGCACCCTCTTGAATTATTATGTCATTGGATTTTACTTGGTTCTTCTGTTTACAGTTTAGTATTTAAGGTTTTGTAAATGTAAATATATTTTGTATATTTTTCTATGAGAAGCACTTCATAGCGAAGAGCACTTATGAAACTATTTTTTCAATTGTGGTTGTCATCCTAATTTAAAAGAATCAGTTTTTAATGACCTTATTATTTTAATAGGATGGGCTTTAGGAGGTTGCTGGCCAGGCCTGCAGTCCGAACCTTCCTCTAGACTAGAGAGCAGTGGGGGCAGTGGGGAGAACCTTTCCAGTTTTCTGGAAGCTTCGGCTGGACCTCGAATTACACATTGTGGGAGAGAAGATACACACACATCTGCAAGAGGTGTTTTGAACCCAGCATTGATGCTGGGTTTTAACATGAGGGTGGGAGTACAGCACAGAGGGGACCCCCTGACCTTCCTCTCTCTTGGGAAGAGGCCAAAATCCCACCACGCCACACCTCAGTAACCCAACATTTCTGGTCTGCTCCATCTCATGCCACCAGATTAAACTTCCTTGGCTCTGAAACTGCAAGCAAACCTTCCTATGGTTGCCTAGTAAAGCCGCAGCAGCAGCCAGGCTTCTTTTGGGTCAACAAGCACATTCCCTATGAAGATCTTGCCTCTCCTGCAGCCCAGCTTCCAGTTGCCTGGGGAGGACAGGCCAGCACTTACTAAGCCTTCCGCTCCAGCTGGAGTGGTACAGGGCATGTGTCCATTTCTCCTATGGGGGGGCGCAAAACCCAAGTTTGGGTTGCCTGTGGTGAATGTGGCAGAGTTTTTGAGGAATCGAGTAGCCCTCCAGCTTTCCTGTTCCAGGCTGCCACATCCTGTGGGCCAAAGAGGAACATAATTTGCATGTCCCCTGCTGCTACCAAAGCCCTGGGCCAGTAGCTGCCAGGTCAAAAGAGAGTTCCGTCCCTTGCTTCTTCCTCTCTTCCACAAGGAAGTTCCAAGCAAGGAACAGGAGGAGGAGGAGCATAAGCATGTGGCTCAGGGCAGAGCTGGACTGGGGTCCAAGCTCACTGACATTTGCTGCTGCTGTTGCTGCTGCTAAACCCTGTTCTGACTGAGCTCAGCAGCAGGCAGCCACTATGGCCAGTAACCCAAGGGAAGAAGGCATGCATGCCACTGTGCCTGGGCTCCATGGGGAGGCCGGCAGGAACGGAGAGAAGGAAGGGTTGGGGTCTTGGCCAGTTGTGTTGGCTCTGATCTGTGGAGCAAAGGGAGGAGCTCCACGCGGCTTCCTGGCAATATGAATGTATAATTTCTAAGGACTGACAGAGATCATGATACCTGAGAATACTAAGAGTCAAACCTTTAAGGTGTTTATTTTTTTAAAGGAAAAGCGGGTCACTGCAAAGGGCTGGGGTATAATAATCTTCTCTTCATTGTCCTCCCTTGCGAAGCAATACCGGGTTCTTGTTCTTTGTGCAGAATCATGTCGTTCTCACCCAGATTGCTGCTCCATCCTCCTCCCCTCCACCATCTCCTCCTCCCACACACCTGCAAGTTTTTATAACTATAAATATGGTATATATAGGAACAAATATCGTACTGCACCATGTCTTGAAGCCTGGCTTTGAATTCTCTTTAACACTATAGATAAGAGTTGTGTTCCAGTTGCTCAAAAGGCAGGAAAACCAGCAAGCCAGAGGCTTCGGGGCCAGTTGACGTCTCCCTCCTCCAAGGAGGACTGGGTAAGGGACCGGGGGTGGAGGGGTGGATGCTCTGGCTCAGTCTGCCTGCATGCAAACCCCCAGGAAGCTGTTGGGGGCTTGGCTATGAATTCTCCTGACCTTCAGTGTTAACAGTCAGTTCTTGTACAACTTGTTTCTTGCCGCCTTCGCTGCCTCCTCCTGGGTTCTGATTGTTGAGGTACCAAAACGGCGTCATCTGCTTTCCTGGTACCTTAACAAGGTCCTGCAGCTTTGCCTCTCAGCCGAGAACTGTGCTCGTGATGTTCCTTTGATTCAACGTAGCCGTCTTTTAATAGCTCAAGGTAGTGAATAATTGTCTCAAACCGTGCAAAAGCTACGCAAACAGGGTTTTGTTCCAGAGAAAAAGCAACTTATCATGTAAAACCAATCTCTCTCTCTCTCTCTTCGTTTTATTTCTCGTGTTCTTCCAGATTGTTTGGGTTTTTGTTTGTTTGTTTGTTTTCTTTAAAAAGAGGAAATGCGTCTCTCGTGCTGCATCAGTGTTAATTCCCTGTCATCGTCACAGGGATGAAGGAAGTACTTTCAGTAGTTCAAGAAATGACTGAAAAGTTCCATGAAAGACTGAATGTAAAAACAAGTGTATATAGTTGTACAAAAAAAGGAGTTTTTAAACATGTTTATTTTCTATGCACTTTTTTATTTAAGTGATAGTTTAATTAATAAACATGTCAAGTTTATTGCTTCAGAGGATGGTGTTTTCATTTATTGATCAAGGCTGTGGAGGTTTTCAGCAGGGGAGGGGGGCAAGTTTGTATATAGCTCTCAAGAAACAATAAAAAAGGAACCCACTTCTTCTAGGCTGCACCATACAAACACAAGGTAAGATCATTTACTTCACCTCTTGGGATTCTTTCCTTGTTGCAATACAGTCATACCTCAGAAGTTGAATGCCTTTCGAGATGAACGTTTTGGCTCCTGAACACCGTAAGCCTGGAAATGATTGTTCCTGTTTGTGAACGTTATTTGGAACCCGAACGTCCATCGTGGCTTCTGATTGGCTGCAGGAGCTTCCTGCAGCCAATCAGAAGCTGTGCCTTGGTTCCCAAACGTTTTGGAAGTCGGACAACTGTATATCTGATATTCTGTAAGGTGAACGTGCTGCAACAGTCTTACACGCTTCCTTGTCCAGAAGGTAAAGGGACCCCTGACTGTTAGGTCCAGTCGTGGCCGACTGGGGTTGCGGCGCTCATCTCGCTTTATTGGCCGAGGGAGCCGGCGTACAGCTTCTGGGTCATGTGGCTAGCATGACTAAGCCGCTTCTGGCAAACCAGAGCAGCGCACGGAAAGGCTGTTTACCTTCCCGCTGGAGCGGTACCTATTTATCTACTTGCACTTTGACGTGCTTTCGAACTGCTAGGTTGGCAGGAGCAGGGACCGAGCAATGGGAGCTCACCCCATCGCAGGGATTCAAACCGCCGGCCTTCTGATCGGCAAGTCCTAGGCTCTGTGGTTTAACCCACAGTGCCACCCGCATCCCTTGTGGGGAAACAATCCTGCTGAATCCAAATAAAGGCCCATATAGTCCAGCATCCTCCTCTCACAGAGGCTGAGCAAATGCCCCAAAGGGAAGCCCGCAGTGAAGACCCAAGTGTAAAGGGTATCACTGCCATTTGTACACAGAAACTGATGTGCAGAGGCAGGCTGCTAACCGATACTGGAAGTAGTACACAGCCATCATTGACTAGGAGTTTAAAAGCTTCTTTGCCACCCTTTTCATTTTAGGTGCCAGCAAACTACCGGTAGTTCAGGTGGAGCCCATCCCTTTTGCATTGGTCCAGCTTGTCCTCAAAAGTCCCATAAAGGTAAAGGTACCCTGACCGTTGGGTCCAGTCGCGGACAACTGGGGTTGCTCACTCATCTCACTATAGGCTGAGGGAGCCCGTTTGTCCGCAGACAGCTTCCGGGTCATGTGGCCAGCATGACAGCTGCTGCTGGCGAACCAGAGCAGCACACGAAAACGCCGTTTACCTTCCCGCCGGAGCGGTACCTATTTATCTACTTGCACTTGACGTGCCTTTGAACTGCTAGGTGGACAGGAGCTGGGACTGAACAACGGGAGCTCACCCCGTCGCGGGGATTCGAACCAGTGGCGTAGCGTGGGGGGTGCAGGGGGGGCCGGGCGCAACATCTGGGGTTAGGGCAAATCCACGGGTTAGGGGGCGCAAATCCACGGGTTAGGGGGCGCAAATCCACGGGTTAGGGGGCGCAAATTACTTGCCCCGGGTGCTGACAACCCACGCTACGCCACTGATTCGAACTGCTGACTTTCTGATCAGCAAGCCCAAGGCTCTGTGGTTTAGACCACAGCGCCACCCACGTCCCTTGGCATCTTGCAAATCCAAGCCCTGCCTCCTGGCACCACTGTCTCATCCATGCCTTGAGACTGCTCACTCTGTCTTTTACCTGGCCTTGTGCATGGCAAGAGGAGCATTCAAGGGATGCATCCCAAGCTCAAAAGTCCCCGCAATAGTAGTGCAGCTGGCATAATGTCACTGCACAAGAGAAACAATAATTGTGGCTGGCACAGGTGTGGTTTATATCCTGCCAAACACTGATTGCCTGCATGGTTCCACCACATCTGGAGGGCATTCTCATGCCACCATGAGGGTAGCCAGTGAGTGGGGCAGGGGGCTGATTTTCCCAGATCAGCTTTAGCCCGTTGTTTCCCACGGGGCATGTCCCTGTGCACTGCCCCTTTGGCAGGCATAGCATCCAGGCATAGTTGCAGTCTTGAGCAGGGGTTACATATACAGTGGTACCTTTGGTTAAGTACTTAATTCGCTCCGAAGGTCCGTTATTAACCTGAAACTGTTCTTAACCTGAAGCACCACTTTAGCTAATGGGGCCTCCCGCTGCCACCACGCCGCCGGAGCACGATTTCTGTTCTCATCCTGAAGCAAAGTTCTTAACCCAAGGTACTATTTCTGGGTTAGCAGAGTCTGTAACCTGAAGCGTCTGTAATCTGAAGCTTATGTAAGCCAAGGTACCACTGTATATGGCAGCCAGCTGGCTTCTAATATGCCCCTTTTTTGACAGGCAGATCAGTGGCAGGCCTGACTTGCATCCACCAAGCTGCCCATTAGTGGACAGATGAACTTCTGGCGGCGGCAGCAGCAGATTCCCAGCAGCGTGGGCTCCCCTCTGCTGTGGAGGGCAGTAGCACTGCATCCTAGCCCCTTCCAGTCTAGCAGATTCGTGGTTTGAACTGCTCCGTAACACAGCATAGTAAAACGTGGAACTCAAAACAGTAGCAAATGTAATCCGGATTAGCTACAGAAATCCCCCAAAGCCTGTTAGGAAAATTTGGTCTTTACTGCAGCAGAGAAAGCGGCTGGGTCGACCTTTCTCCAGCCCTGCTGTTCCACCGGTGTTGCTAGAAACTCTGGGACAGAGCATCTGGGCTGGCTGGAGGTACAGGTATGTGTGCGCCCCCTCCCCTTTTTGTTATTCCTGCACTGTGTTAGTTCCCGCCCTTCTTGCTCCTCCCCCAGCCCTGGGAGTGTGCTTGGGGGTCAAAAAACTCCCTGTTTCAGCTCCAGCAACAGCACCCACTTAGACCTAGACGCAGCAGCAGCAGGGCATTGCCCCATCTCCTCCCCCAATGCTATTGGCTGCTTGGTAAGCCAGCCCCTCTCTCTCTCACCCCCCACTTGCTCTCCCAGGTCACTCAAGATCTCATCCGCAGGAGCCGACATGGCAACAGCACACGACAGGGCAGTTTTGCAAAGCATATTCCACCCCGACGCCCCTTTTGGCGACCTCTCTGATGAGCTGGAGGAGCAGGAGACTCTCAATGGAGAAGGTGAGTTTGGCTTCTGCATGAGATGGGGCAGGGGAGAGGGACTTTCCTGGAGGCATGTCTGTCTCTACCTTGAGCTCCCGGAGGCATCAGAGCAGCTTCAGACTGCCAAGAAGTGGAGGTTCAAGGATGGTGGGGGGCTGCAAAGGGGAAAGCCCCGCCTACCCATCTCTGTGTAATTGGAGCAGCAGCAAATCCCTCTGCTTTTCATTAAGGAGGCCTTTACAAGGCTCTCATATCATGGCCCTGGAAGAGAGGGCCTCTCCCTCACCATCAGCAGCATAGGAGCCAACTCCTAGGGGCCAAGGTCCCTTCGACACCCCCCCAATAAAATATTGAAGGGGTCTGGGGGCCCCAAAAGTTGATGGGTATTGCCATTCAAATTGTGTGTGTGACCATGTCTTGCGATCAATTATGGTGGGTTGGGGTTTATACCTGCCCCCCAAATATTTTATCCAAGTTGGCACCCCTGGTCTGCAGTGGGGGGAAGCTGCTTTCAGAAACTTGCCAGCCTTTTTCTGCAGGCTTCACGTCCATGGTGGTGCAGCGTGACCTCTGATCGTCACCTGACCACAATTCATTGCACTTTGCCCTGGAGAAGGTGGGTGGGCTTTTCCCCCAGAGGCTTTCTGTCCCCTTGTCCCTGAGAAATTGTAGTCATCCGTGTAATTAGCACCGGATTGGAGGCCAGTGGAAGTTCCAGTGGCTGTAGAATGGGGGGTGCATACCTATATAGTCTAGCTGTCTTCTGTCCCCCCGCCCTTGACCCGGAGCTATTAACAAAACTGTGCTTCTCCTCATAATGAGACAGAAGCAACCTTTGACCCGGAGCTCCTGGAACAAGCCACTCAGCTAGAGATCCAGGGCATTGAAGCTGCCGAAGCTGGAGACCTGCAGAAGGCCCTGGAGAGATTTGACCTGGCCATTCAGCTGCTTCCTGAGCGAGCCGCAGCCTACAACAACCGGGCCCAGGCCTTCCGCCTCAAGGGCAACACAGCAAGTAAGTGAGCAAGGCAGTGCTGTTCTGCATTGACACAGAGGATGGGGGCCCTCTGCCTGGGACAGGCACCATGTCTGCTGTGTAGCCTGAGCCTAGCAAAAGAAGGGCTGAGCAAACCCCCTGGACAGGGAACACCACGTCCCTTGTCCTCTTCAAGGGCTTTTCAGAGACCTTCCCATCACCTGTTCTCTGGGCTCAATATTGGTGCTTCTGCTTGCTTGGGAACCCACCTACCGGGGCATCTCCCCATGCCACAGCCAGCCCTACAAGGTCCCCGAGAATCAAAGCTCTGAGCTAAGAACCTGCTACCTAAAGTGGAACCCAAACCACTGAAAACAATCCCCAATCTGAATAAAACAACTGCTTTCCATTTCAACTCTGTCCATGCTGAAGATGGTGCCACTGTGTGGGCACAGTTGCTGCCGCTTCCCCTTCTGCAATATCTCTGCTATGATTCACAAGGCAGGTTCCATGGCATTCCCCTCCATCATTTGCATGTATTTCTTCTCTACCCGTCAGGTGCCCTGGAGGACCTGGGTATGGCACTGCAGCTTAGCAAGGGCGTTGGCCGTGTAGCCTGCCAGGCGTTTGTGCAGCGAGGGCTGATCCAGCGTTTGCAAGGCCACGAGCAAGAGGCCCATAGGGACTTTGAGCAAGCGGCCAGACTGGGCAGTGCCTTTGCCCGTCGTCAGCTGGTCCTGATGAATCCGTACGCAGCCCTCTGCAATCAGATGCTCTCCGAAATGATAAAGAAACTGAGGGGGCCAAGCAAAGAGCCCCAGACGGAGGCTTCCTCCGGGGAGAAAGTGTGTCGCTAAGGACAAACAAGGGCTCAGCCTGCAATTCCTCTCCCAAAGACAAGCTGGGGGTGCTACTCCCCACCTTT